GATTGAGGGTAACAGCAGGCCTGAAACTCATTGGCAAGTTAGGGAGATGTCTACCCCAAGCATGTGAAGACTTCTCCCAGGCAGAATGGGGCAGATGAGAACAATTTGTTCCAGCAACCATGAAGGCAGTTGAAGTGAAGACGCGAAGGTCATCCATTGCTTCCTGGGCTATTGCCAGTCGTCTTGATTTTTTTTTCCTGCCACTGGATTTTGATATCTCTGAAGAGAGAGTGAGACTGATGTGACTTTGTGCATCTCTGCCTCACTTAAATCCAATTATGCTCTAGTCAAGACATCACCTTATGAAATCATTGATTCTCTTTTGAAAATGAAGTAAGAACAACAATAAGCATTTTTGTTTTAAATAAGGTCCACTAATGTTTAATAAATCCCAGAATAGAATTTTAAATAATTCCCGTCATGGAATCATGTCTCATGGTCTCCATGGTATGCATAAGTTTGTATTTGTTTGTTGTATTAAGCTTTGTGAGAGATAGTATGCTGTACTAGACAGAGAATCAGCCTTGGAGTCATGAAGGCAGATCTGTGTTCAACCCCTGGCAATATTCCAGCTGTGAGGCTGGCTCTGTGCAAAACCACTAACTCTCTGAGACAGTAAATTAGAGAACAATTGTTGATATGAAGTGGTAGAGGTAGTTGTCTCAATGAAGACTTCCTACATCAATAACATCATAAGTCTGGAAAAAAAATAAATGAAATTTATTTTATATATTAATTTTATCTATTTTGGTCCAGACTAGCAGTTACCCCTGTTTTCATGTCTAGGTATGGACACTTGAGGCCATGAATGTTATCATTTCCCCTGTTCCTGTATCTTATCTCTGTGATTTGAGTATTAAACATTTCTGCTAGTCTCTGCCCACCTGGAGCTTAAATTCTATCAAGGAAAACAACATATGTCCTTATACTAAACGCTAAGTACAAATACAAATATATAAATACAAAGTTGTGAGATAGAGCATTATAATCTGGAGGATAAGGAGATGCCCTTTAAGCTAATCTTTGAAGGGGATTGGGAATTTTAAGAGGCAAAAGTGAGAAGGGAAGGATATTCCAGGCATGGGTTCATTTTGTGCCTAGAGATGGGAAGCGGAATATTGTGTAGGAGGAACAGAAATGGTGCTGTTTGTCCTTTGTTTTTGAAGAGGATGATGACACCAGGAGGACGATGCCGTGATGTGCAAGTGACTTGGATTTAAGTGAGGGAGAGCTGTGCAAAATCACCAGCCTCAGTTTCTTTCTAGATCAAGACTACTCAAAGAAAAGCAGAAAGACCATTACTGGAATGTAAAGTGTGTGAAAGGGAGTTGTATGTAATCAGCCCAGAAAGGTGATGATGAAGGGCTCTACATGCCAATCTAGAGTTTGAATTTGATATCAGAAGCAGTTAGAAGCCATTAGATTTTAAAAAAACAAATAAAAATTTTTTTAAAAAACCACAAGCCCACACACAAATGTGGTGATACCTGTAGGGCATTGGCACCGTCTTCTCTGCTTCTGTACCTGCTGAAACAAATCCTCTTCTTGATGCGGCCCAGCTTATTAGCAATAAGGGACCTCTAAGGAGGCATTTGTAATAGCTGGTTTTCCCATTTTTGGTCAGGGCCCCCCCCCAATATCTAGTTAGCAGATAACTGCTAATGACCCGATGCAAGCAGCAGTTTGGACTCAGTGGTTATCTATGCCATTCAATGGCTGGAAGCACTTAAGTCCTCATATCCAGCTTATATTTTTGATTTATTGATTCAATAAAGGTGTCTAGGGATTGTTTATATCTAGTTTACATATTTGATTGTTACTCAGAAGTATTCTCAGCTCATAAAAGTATCAGGTCATAGAACATCGTGTTAATTATGGTAACTGATCCCCTTCCCCAGTTTATGTCTAGCACAGTGTCTGGTTCATAGTAGGCATGCAACTGGTATTTGAATTGAATCATCAAAATGGATTTCATTGAATACTGCTTAGTTTTCTACAAGGAGGTTTACACGCATTAAGATTTGAGAAAGCTAGAGAAAAATGTAAAGTTCTTAGAGGTTATATCCTACATAAATAACTTTTAAAATATTTATGTTACATTCAAAGCAGTAGATTTATTGTGCAGTCTTGGCTAGAGATGTAAAAACAAAGTGCACAGATTTTGGTGGGATGAAGTGCATGGACCAAGAATTCCAAAGTGTTAGAGTATTCATATCTTTTTATCTAAGAGAGAACCAAAACTTTTCCTGCAACAAAATGCACCCAGATCTTACTAATAACTGTACTTTTGGGGGGGGAACTTATACAGACAATGAAATGTTAAGGCAGGAATTATTACTTTTTTGTGATCATTGTCTCTTCTGAATTTTAACCTGGTATATTTTTGGGGGCTTGGGCTAAACATGTTTAGTTAGTTGGACATATTTATCTAAAAAAAGCAGATTGTGTAATAAAGCCATATTAACTGTAATGTCTTATGTATTAAGAAGTACTGTGTCACTGGAGTAGGTATTCACACTGATCGTATCATTGACTCTTTGGTGTATGCAAATAAATATGGTAATTCCATTAGCTCGGAATAGAATTATACAAAATTATTCCCTCAAGCTGGGGAGGGGGGAGGCAGGGTTAGTTTGTATGAAAAAGATGTGGGGATTTTAATTGACTGCAAATTCAATATGAGTCAGCATTGTGATGTTGTGGCCAAAAAAGCTAATTAATGTAATCTTGAACTACATTGAGAGGGATAGCAGCATCTAGGAATAAAGGGGCAACTAGAGTGTGCAGTGGATAGAGGGCTGGTACTTTGGAGTAGAGCCAATAGCCCTGTAGGTGGCAGAGTGAATAGAGTGGTGGGTCTGGAGTCAGAAAAACACTTTTTTTGTGAGTTCAGATCTGGCTTCAGACACTTAATAGCTATATGACCCTGGGCCAGTCACTTAACCCTGTTTGCCTCAGTTTCCTCATCTGTAAAATGAGCTGGAGAAGGAAACGGCAAACCACTGCAGTATCTTTGCCAAGAAAACTCCAGATGGGGTCAATGAAGAGTCAAGTATGACTGAACCACAGGAATAAGGAAGTCTTGTTTTTCTGCTGTCTGCTTCTTTAATAAGAAGACATCTGGAAAAGCAGATAATAGTTCTGGGTTCTGCATTATAGGAAAGACATAAACTGGACCATTCTAGAACGGGGCCATCATGATGGGCTATGTTCTGTGAGGTCAGCAGGAGGAAATGGGAACATTTTGCCTGAAGAAGAGAAAACTTGAACATGATTGCTGCCTTCAAGTACTTCTAAGGGAATTCCTCTGAAAGATTAGATTTGTTGCAGGCGTTTGATCCTACAGGGCAAAGCCAGGAGCAACAAGAAGTTGTAAAGAGGCAAAATTGCTTGGACTTTTTGGGTAATATTAGGTCAATCCCAAAGTAGAATGAGCTGCCTAGAAAAGTCGTTTTTTCCCCTCACTGAAAGTCTTCAAGTAAAGTCTGGATACCTACTTGTTGGGAATATGAGAGTGGAATTCCTTTTGGGGATAAGTGAGACTGTAAGGCCATTGAGATCCCTTCCAATTCTGAAATTTCATTCATCTCATCTGTCTTAAGGAGAACAAGGGATTTTGAGATCATCAAGTCTAACCTAATTTTGTAGATGAATAAATTGAGACCTAGGGAGGTTAAGTGACTTGTTACACAAGATGTTGGAAAGTGATAGATACATTTAAAATATCCTTTGTTGTCAGATTTTAGATTTGAATCTAAAGGACCCAAAATCCAGGGCGAGAATTCATGCCTGCCTTCACTTTAATTAACTGCTTGATTTATTTTTGGCCAGTGCCATAAACCTTTTTTGTGTCATGGTTCCCTTTGGCAGTCTGGTAAAGCCCATGGAGTTCTTCTTTAAACAGTGTTTTAAAATTCATTAAATAAAATATGCAAGAGTACAAAGGAAGCTACTTATATGGAAATACAATAATCAGGATATTTTCTAAAAGTTTATGGACTCAGGTTAACCACCTACGGCTTATGAGATGGGAGGTACTTTGGAGTAGAGCCAATAGCCCTGTAGGTGGCAGAGTGGATAGAGTGGTGGGTCTGGAGTCAGAAAGACTCTCAAACATCTGTGACCTTGGATAAGTCACTTAACCCTGTTTCCCTCAGTTCATCATTTGTAAAATGAGCTGGAGAAGGAAATAGCAAACCACTCTAATATCTCTGCCAAAAAAACCCCAAAAGGCATCACAGAGAGTCAAACATGAGTGAAACGACTAAACAACATAGCTGTGTACTGTTCCCATTGGAGTTAGGAAGAAGGCAGATGTATGATAAGTGAGTAGTTGGAGAAACAATTGAATCAGAGTAGAAAGCTATGCTAAATTGCTTTTATCTAATAGAAAATAAGCCAGGTTTTAATCCTTGGTATGCTTTAACAAGGACAAATCAAAATTGATTAATCAAAAGAAGTTTGGGGGCATTAGCAGGGCTTCCCTGTTTCTCCGTTCTCTTCATTCCCTCCTAAAAGTGCCATGTCAGGGAGGGAAGAGAGGGAACAGCATATTAGTACTTCATAGGCAATAACTGATTTGGCTGAGGAGTCAAATTTGTTTAAAGAAAGTTGAGTGTGTACTTTAATTGTTTAATTATGGTGATTTGTTACTTTAATATTAGGCTTTGACTGTTTTATGGCAAAAAGTTAGTAAAGAACAAAACCCATAGTCATCTTCATCAGTCTGTAATCTTTCCCTGTAGGTTCATCTTAATCTTAAAATGTCCATGGCTCACACTCACATGGCTGTAAATGAGTGTAATGAGTGTAATACATTTAATGAATTTGATCAGTCTATTGTTAGACTATAGAAACAGAACCTTATGTTGAATATTCAGTATTTCTTCATTTTTTCCTTTATTTCTTTTTTCCTATCTAATAGAGCATCTTCATGCTTTTTCCATTTCAGTCGAGAGAAAATTGTATTGAGTGGTCGGATCCTCTTTCTTTTCTTGCAGAACAATCAATCATGACTACGGAATCTGGATCTGACTCTGAATCGAAACAGGACCAAGAGCCAGAGCCCCAGGAAGCCTCTGGACAGCAGGGACAAGCTGGGGCTCAACAGCAGCCAGCAGAACAGCCACTCAGGGAGGAACATCAGCAGGCATTGGAGCAGTTCTCTGCAGCAGCAGCACATAGCACCCCAGTGAAAAAAGAGGTCAGTCTCAGTTCAGTCAGCAGCAGTTCTTCAAAAGTTTCTCTTCTTTGTCAGCCAGCTCCCCATACTGTGTCTTCTAGTTACCCAGCAAATACAGAGAGGTCATAATTGAATTGATCATTTCCCCGTAAAAAAAAAATCAATTAAGAATATTTATTGTGCTTATTTTAAGTATTTCCTAGAAGACTTGATGTCTTAAAATTAGAAACTATGAGGGACCAAAGTTCATTCTCTTCATATCTCCAGCAGGCAAAAATTTATCCTGTTTTAAAAGCCTTCAAAAAGTTACATTTCACGAACTTTCTTCCTTATTTATTCCATCATTCAACAAGAACCCTCACCAAAAACCTGGACTTCTGACTCTTGTATGTGTCTCTTTTGATAGGAAGGAAAATTCCCCCTATTTGTATAAGTTATCACGTTGTACCAAATATTGCAAAAATGGGTTTGAGATTTTCTCTTTTCCTCTCCCAGGTATATCATTTAAGAATTTGTCCTATGGATATTTTATTATTATTGTTTTTGTTGTTGTATTTCAGAACTTCTTTGGGGGTCACTGTTTGAGCATCATAAAATATAAAAGATGAATGAATGGATAAGTATTTATTAAGCACTTAACTGTGTTCATTCCAAGGCTTGGACCAAGCCTGGGGTATTCACAAATAAAAACCAAGACAGTGTTTGATCTCAAGGAACTTACATTTTTACAGGAAGAGGTAACAAATAGAAGAATGGTGGCCAGGGCGAAGTATTATGGTCGAATGAATTATAGGGATGGTGAGTAGAGCCATAAGGGAGTAGATTGATATATCCTTTCCAAGAGCAGAGGTGGTATTGATTTGATTATGCTTCTAGAAATCAAAAAACTTGGTGAGGGTAAGGATTGGATGGTATGAGTGCACCATGGAAAGGATGTAAGTGAAAGATGGCTGCAAGAAAAAGTCAGTTAGTCAATAAACATTTAAGTACCTACTGTGTGCCAGGCACTGGGCTAAGTGCTGTAGCTATAAAAGGAGGTAAAAGGCAGCCCCTGCACTCAGGGAGAGAGCAATCTAATGGAGGAAACCACTGGTAAAATAAAAATGTACAAATAAGCTATAGAAAGGACAGGTAGGAAATAGGGAAGGTTCTAGAGTTAAGAGAGATTGGGGAATGTTTCCTGAAGAAGATGGGATTTTAGTTGAGAACTAAAAGAAGTCAAGGAAGCCAGGGAAGACAGTGTGCAGAGATACCTTTCAGGCATGGGGGATGGTCAGAGAAAATTTTTGCCTGGAAGGAAAGATGGGGTGTCTTGTTAGTGGAACAACGAGGAGGCCAGTGACACTGGACTGAAGAGCGTGTGCCAGGGAATAATGTGCAAGAAGCTTTGAAAGGTAAGAGGAACTAAGTTATAAAGGGCTTTAAACACCAAATAGAGGATTTGTATTTGCTCCTGGAGGCTATAGGGAGTCACTTGAGTTTATTTGAGGGGGTGGTTGGATCTGCACTTTAGGAAAATCATTTTAGTGGCTGAATAGAGGATGGATTAGAATGGTAAGATACTAGAGGCAGGCAGACCCACCAGCAGACTATTGCAATAGTCCAGGAGTGCGGTGATGAAGATGTGCACCAGGATGGTGGCAATGTCAGAGGAGAAAAGGGAACCTATTTGAGAGATGTTGCAAAGGTGAAATCGATAGGCTTTGGCAACAGATTAGATATGGAGAGTGCGAGATAGTGAGGAGTCAAGAGTGACACTCACTTTTTGAACCTTAAGGACTGGAAAGATGGTATTGCCCCCTAGTGTATAGGAAAGGTAGGAGGGAAGAAGGATTTAGAGGAAAGATAGGAGTTCCATTTTTGACATCATGACTTTAAGATGTCTGCTGGACATCTAGTTTGAGATGTCTGGAAGGCAGGTGGAGATTGGAGATCAGCAGAGTGATTGGGGCAGGATTGTTGTACTCCATATGTAATAGGCAAGCTATGGGCGAGAGTTTCGGGAGAAAAATAATGAATTCTGTTTTGAACATGTTGAATTTAAGATGTCTACTGGGCATCCAGTTTGAGATGTCTAACAATGCATTTGTAGATGCAAGACTGGAGGTTGGCAGCGAGGTTGGGGCAGAATAAGGTATGTTAAAGTGAAGCATGGCTTCATGTAATGGGCCAGGTGAAACAAATATCCAGTGGGACAGTGGGGCTCCAGTACATAGGTTCTAGGCATAAAAAGGTTGAGTCCTTTAGGACATGGTATCTTGTCAAGCCAAGCTGCAGGCAAGAGACTATTGAGTCAGAAGTTTTTTGGTAGCTCCCTGTTCTCCATGAACACTTATTTTGTGTGTGTGTGTGTGTGTGTGTGTGTGTGTGTGCACACGCACATCTAGGGTGGGGGCCACAGGAGTGGAAAGAAAGAGATGGATGTGAGAGGAGTTGTAGAGATAGCCAAGACTTGACTACCGGTTTGACATAGTGGGTGAAGGAGAGGGAAGAGTTGAGGATAAATAACTATAAGCTTGTAAGCCTGAGTGACTGCAAGAATGAGGATGATGGTGACCTCAGCAGAAATAGGGAAATAAAGACAAGAGGTGGGTTGGCAGGAGAACGTAAGAGGAGATAATGAGGCTTGTTTTGACTTGTTCAGTTTGAGATATTTGTGGCATGTCCAGTCTGAAATGTCCATTAGGCAGCTGGGAATGTGGGACTGGGACAGGAATGAGGTTAGTGCTGGCTCTATGGATCTGCGAGTAATCCATAGAAAAATGACAATTTTATTCATAGGAGTTGGTGAGATTAATGTGAGAGAAAGGTACAGAGACAAAAGAAGAGGGTCCAGGACAGGACACGGATGTTGGTCTAGCAACAGAGATAGAAGAAGTAGCCATACAGATAGGAAGAGAACCAGGAGAAAGCAATGTCATAAAAACCCAGAAAAGAGAGAATATTCATAAGGAGAGAACAATAAGTTGTACCTGTGTTTTGAATGTATGTTTAAATATTATTATACTTGCCAAGTGAGTTCTTAAAACAATTTTGCTTTAAAGCCTCCATATTGGAATCCTATGGGTGCTTCAGATAGTCACGTGATGATGATGATTTTGTAAGCTTGGAAAGAACTTTGGCAAAGAATTTAACACAATTGACAGTTACTAAGCTTGCAAAAGAGTTAGTATATGTATTACTTCAAAATAGAGAGATTGTATCACTGAAACACTCAAGAAGTCACAGCATAAGAGTATAAAATTAAACTCAGCTAAAAATATATGTGAGAAGCCAACTGTGAGAATTCGTATTCTGTCTAATATTAACAGCAATACATCTGGAAGGAGCTGTGCAACCATCTTCTTGCAATGTTTGGAATTGGTAAAATGTTTTTAGAGATTCCCCATCATGATTGCAATACATCAAGCATTAAGAGCAGTTAGCATAGATATTTACTGTCGATTTTAGAAAGTGACAGCTTTTAAGTGACAGCATCCAGCATTCCATTTAATACCTATGGGTGGGTTAAATCTTCATGTTGTTCTGTTGCCTAAGGGAGCAAGGCCAGTCCTTCAATGCCAACATGCCTCTTCATTGTATCTGCCATCTTATTGGTTTCTCATTACCATTGATTTAGCTTTAGATGTAAGAAGCATATTACTACTGTCTTTTCCTGAAGCCTCATTGTTTTTCTGTTCAGCTCTACTTCTGACCTGGGTAGCTTGAAACCCAATTTGATTTGATTCACCAAGCATTTATTGAGTGTGTACTATGTATGGGACATAAGACTAGGCAATGGGAATACAAAAAGAAAAATGAAAAATTCCTTCCCTCAGAGAGTTTACCTGTATACAGTTGGAAATAGCATGTACACAGATGCATCAATACAAAATGTATCTACACAATATTTTGCACCAGGATTTGGGAGAGGGATCGGTGATAGCTGAGAGGCTTAGGAAAATTCTGCTGTAGCAGGTGGCAACTGATCTGATTTAATACTAATTTTATTTTGTTACTTTTTTTTCTGTACCTGTGATTTAATGGGTGGTGGGAATTGCTGGTGAGAAACTTCTGTACCATGGGAGATCAGAACCTTCTTTATAGTGTTACTTGTTAAGGTTAAGGCCTTTCCTAAGCTTCCAGTAAGTTGCTTTAGAGGCAAGACTTAAACCCAATTCTCCTTAACTGAAGCCAATTCCTTATCCACTACATCAGACTGTCTTGATAATAACAATAGCTGACATTTGTATAGCATTATAAAATTCACAAAGCATTTTATAAATATTACTGAATTTTATCCTTACAATAACCCTGTTTGGTAGGTGCTATAAACATTGGTTTTCCTGTTTTGCAGATGAGGAAACTGAGTCTCAGAGAGGCTAAGTGATTTGTCCATATCAGTGGGGACATTCCAACAGAGGTCTTTCCTGATTTGATGTTGCCTTTTTGGCTGGCCCCCTCCTCTTGTCATTGCTTTTTACTCCTTGACACATCAACCTTTTTCATATATACTACTGTTATTGCCATCTGTTTCTAAAAGGCTTACGTCATATCCTGTTGCCACTTGGCTTCTCCCGCCTATAGAAATTCACTATTGTGGCTCCCAATCATTTGCCTCCTGTAGTCTCAGTTTTTCAATAGGATTTTCAGAAGGAGAGCTAGTCCAGCAGTAAGTGAGCAAACACTTCCTTGTCCCCAAACATACAACATGCAATTTATACAATGTTCCCTAGCCTTTCACATACCTTGTTGCTCACAAGAGTTGCAGCTCGGTCTCAGTTCCTGCTAATACAGAAAGCCTATGCTTTAAAAACAAATGAAACACACCAGACCCTAGATCAACCCCCCCAAATGTAACCTTCCTATTGAATTTTTTAACAAGGGTTATAATATTACATTTATGCATGTATTTCATTTACTCTCCCTTGACTAGTGTGTAAATTCTCTGAAGGCAAGACAGTGTCTTATCTAAGAACTAATTCTTACTGATAGTGAATGGATTATGATGTTCCATTTCATTAATTTCTTTGATCATTCCCCTATTGTTGGACCTGTAACTTGTTAATATTTTTGCTAGTTTCTTTGTGATTATATATGCTATTATAAAAGTTTTGAATGGAAAATTGATATTTGTTTTGACAATAACTTTCAAGATATATTCCTAAAAATATAATTAATGAACCAAAGAGCGACTTATTGTATTCTACTCTCTAAAAGGTTGCACAACCCTCTGCACACAGTAAGTTCATATACTTCTGCACATATCAAGCACTTAATAGATATTTTTTTTCTAATTGAAAGGGAATACATTTTTTGGCATTCTGTTGAATTGTTAGGCATGAAGAGTGTCTAGATTTATTCATGAGCTGGGAGAAATGAGAAAACTAAATAGAACCTCTCTTCAACTTCTTGTAATCATAGCCTTGAAATGAAAAATAAAACCACACATTTATAGGAAACCAGTCATGTGCCTTAGGAGAGATAATAGTAAATGTCCTTTTTTAATTCCCAAGTCATAGGAGCTACCCTTTTATATATTCTTCACTTACATTGGTTGCTCCTTGCTGAGGCTCACCAGCTGTGACAAGGATTAGATACCATTCCTAAAAAATGGAAAGAAGCCCAATGCTAATGGGGTTGTGGAGGAACAGGTATTCTCATTCATTACTGGTCGAGTTGCAAACTTGTACAACCTTTTTGGAGAGCAGTATGTAGTAAGTTAAAAAATAATCAGAAGTTTTTGACTCACTAATTATGCTATTTGGTATAGGTCCTGAAAATGATGGCAAAAGCAACAAAAAAATGAGCTTTCTGTACAAAGATTCTTATAGAAGCATTCTATATAATCACAAAGAAACCAACAAAAAATGTAAAAACTTAAATTGTAAAACAACAGAGGAATCATTAAATAAATCGTGTTATATTAGTGAAATGGAATATTATAATCCATTTAAGACCAGTAAATTTAAGAAATACAAAGAAATCTAAAAACACCTTATGAAATAATGGAAAATGGGAGGGAAAGCATAACGCTGGAGTATATACTTTCTAAGACCTTATAAGAGAAAAAGTAAATGAGAATAAAGGAGGAAAAAAATCTTGAAGAATTGATAAGAATAAATGAAAAAGGCTTAGGATATTGTATATGTTGAAATTAGTTTCAACATAGTTACTTAGCAAGCTTAATTGGTTATATTGAAGTTCAGTGTTAAGTTTATAATGAAATGTTTGCCGTACTACAAAAAACAAAAAGTGCCTTTCATTGTAATTTCTATTCCCATTAGCTCCCATACAAAGTGTCAAATGACTACTTATGCCTCAGATAAAGCCCTCTCTTTTCCATAGAAGGTGGATCCTGGTCTTGGAACTTAAGCTTATTCTAAAAAAAAAAAATTACATAGAAATACATTTATTTTGTCAGTAGAAATATAAAACTTCAGATTTGCTTGTATGAAGGGAGAATGTTTAAGGGGAAAATTTAAACCAGTTTGTTATTTGTGGCTAACTTGCCGTGGCTACTCATCCTTATAGGTATCATTGTAGACAAAATTCCAGGATTCCCAGACTTCTTCTTAAACTGCTTCAAGGCCAAAACAAAGCTAACATTTTTATGACCTTTTGTTTTAATGCTCAGGAGCCAGGATATTTATAGTAAAGACATTGGACTGAGCTGTCAAACACAGGTTTCTTAGGTGAGGACAACCCTCTAGCTAAGCATTCTTCTGAAGTAAATGATGTTCCATTTTCTTTTCTCCTCACCAGCTCTGAGAATTGGTTCCTTATTTTTCTTAACTACTCCTCAGGGCTTCTACCTGGACAAAATAACGGATGAAATGATGATGTTAACAGTCTACTCAATAGGAGTAGTAGATGGCAGGAGATACTTTCTAACAGGAGAGAGAGAAGGGCTAGGTGTTGACACCAAAATATTAACCTTTTTTTGTTGTTATATTAGAACCTAAGAGAAACTTAGGCATAGCAGCGACAAATGGCCACTCCAGTGACTTGGATTTAGAGACACTAATTTAACAGGATGTTGGAAGACCGTTGAAAAAGAGTTTCCTGAATACTGAAGAAAATCATGCGGAATTTGAGATGCCCTTGTCTTTCTTTGTTCTGTCTTTTGGCATGTATTTTCCGTCTTTTGGAACTGGCATGAATTGTTGGCCTTTGTTATGGTTATTGGGGGGGGGGTTGTTTTGATACACAAGGCATAGAACGAAGGCATTTTTGAAGGAGGTGCATTGAGTCTATCAGGGATTTAAAGGATTTTTAGGGGACTTAAAGGAGAATCTTGTTGTTGCAGTAGGACTTCCTGTGTCCTGTTGAATCTAGCCTGGACTGGTCTGTTTCTATTTGAAAGCAGATTAAAGCTTTGGAACAGATCTGATCCATTCTCATGCTGGCTCATTATAGTGAAGGGAAGCAGACTTGGGGGATTAATTTGTGATGAATTTCAGTGATGCTTAGTATATTGAATTAATTTTGAGTCATCAGATATTTTTATGCTAGTAAAATTACAGAAAAAGATTAGGTTTTACAGCTTTACTTATTTTCCTATGTTTCCTTTACCTGAAAAAATTGTTAGCATATTTGTTTATGTGGTAACAGTCAGTCAATCAGCAAGAATTTATTAAGCACTTACTACGTTCCTGGTACTGAAAAACAAAGAAAAAAAATAAATAGTCCTTGCTTTCAAGGAGCTTGTGTGTATACACACACACTCACACTCACTCTGTTTATATGCATACGTATAAAGTTTGTTAATGTTGTTCAGTCATTTCAGTCACGTCTGACACTTTGTGGCCCCATTTGAGGTTTTCTTGGCAAAGATACTGGAGTAGTTTGCCATTTCCTTCTCCAGCAAATGAGGAAACTGAGGCAGACTTCTCTGTTACTTGCCCAGGGTCACACTGCTAGTATGTGTTTGAGGCCAGATTTGAACTCATGAAGATGAGTCTTCTTGACTCCAGGCCCAGCACTCTGTTCACTGTACTACGTAGCTGCCCTGCATTCAAATATGTGCATTCATGTACATATACATGCAATATATGTATATACCTGTATGTCTGTATATATGCCTATATATACACACAGTGAAATATATGTACATGTTGTGCATTTTTAGAATATATTTAATAGGTACAAATTATGAGATTACAATGAATTAAAATTAGGATATAGTAGATACAAATGAACAGGATTTATTTTAGAGTCCTGCAAGTGTCCAGCTATCACATAATGGCTAGAAAAAGATCAGTGTAAATATTTCATCCTTTTCTTCTTATTGAATATTTCAGGATTCATGCTTGAAATAAAATGATTATTGCTACATTATGCCAATAGAAGCACTTTAGGTAAAATCATATGTGTATATAAATCTATCTGCATGTCAGTTATTAACATCCTTTCAATATTGCTTACTCTGTAGTGGGAAAAAAAATCTGTTCTTAATGTACCATGTTGTGCCTGAGTTACACAGTATTATATTTTTTTCTCATTTTGCAATTAAAACTTCTTTTGTATGTTCTTCACAGGTCACTGACAAGGAACAGGAGTTTGCTGCTGCGGCTTCAAGACAGCTCGAATATCAGCAGTTTGAAGACGATAAACTTTCTCAGAAATCATCTTCCAGCAAACTCTCTCGATCTCCTTTGAAGATAGTTAAAAAGCCCAAAAACATGCAGTGCAAAGTGATACTTTTAGATGGAACAGAATATCTCTGTGATGTCGAAGTAAGTTGTTGTGGGTTATTTTGGGGGCACCAAAGGGTTTGGGTTTTGAGGGAGATTTTGGTCCAAGATTCTTGAACAAAGGGTAGTATTAATATAAAACCTACTGAGCTCAAGTATAGTTTATGCAAATTCTGGCAAACTACGTATGTTTGCAGATTTATTCCATGTGTACAGTTTTATTGGCTTTACTTGTACCAAGAGATCTAGTTATTACTCAGAAATGTACTTAAAAAATAGCATTCCATACAATCATTTGAGTTAGCATCTAGGATTATATACAAGAAGCCTGATTTTTCATCTTTTCTTCATTTAAAACTAGGTAGCAAGTTTTATTGCTAGGTGTTGACAGTCAACATGTTTTTGTATCTTAATTATAAGCATTTTACTTAAATGATTTGTTGGCCATCTGAGTAATGCATGGTCAGGATTAACTACCTAGTTGGTAGGATTCGGCCATATTTCTGCACATGGAAGTTGTCTTATGCTTTGACCTACAAAAGCCTTTTCTCAAATGTTGAGGCATTTTCAGATGTTTGCACAGAAAAAAAATTCACGTCAGTGAAGGGCCTGCTGACAGTTTTTGCTGGAGATACATGCAAGAAGTTATCTTGCTTTAAAGTGAATAGTGTAGTGGATTTCAGTGCAAAGATTTTGTAGTGCCATGTTAATAGGGGCATTCACAATAACAGGCAAAGAGATTGGTGTTTTGGTTGATTTTGAAAATACTTCATTTCTTATTTTTCATCTTGAATTGGATCACAATATATTTGGTCTTTTTCTTTTAAAAGAAAAAGGCAAAATAGTTTTTTGCCAATAAAATTGTTTGGAGTGGAATGGGGATGGGGGAAGAAATTCTTAGAACTACTGTCCCCTAAACGTAAATGTTCATAGACCTCGAGAATCTTTGAACGGGGATATCCTTTTGTCTTTTGAAAAACTTTTGGACAAAATGTTCAGTGGACAGTATTCTAATTATAGCAGAATTTGTCCACCTGAGTTATTTAGTAATCTTTGATAAATGTTCATGATTTTGTAACTGTTAATGCCAAAATAAATGGATAGTACCAAGGTGAAAAAATATGTCCCAGGGCTCTAAATGTTCCCATGGTAGAACATCCTTTATGACAGACTGTGAATTTGTCTGTTCTTGGGTCATAGACAGAGGGATTTAAATGCTGACTTTGTCACCAGAAAATATAGGAATGTGCAAGTTTTCTTCTATAATCTGAGCGACCATGACAATCTCTGACAAGATATAATATTGATTTCTATTTTGAAAATTTCCTGCTTTTTGGAAAAACTGTTCTTGGTCAAGGAACATTGACTATTCTCCTTGCCTAGTAGAAAGATATCTGCTATTAATTCTAAATTCATATTTGAGAGAAAATTCAAATGGAGGCATTGGAGACTACTTTGTTGTCATGGGAACATTAATTTTCTAAAGAAGAATCTATGTCATGTAGACAGAGTCAGTACAATATCCTTTGAACCACTTCTAGTATCTGTAGTATTGATCAGTTTACTATGAGGTACATACAGAAGTCTGGTACACACACATCCACACAGAGTAACACTATGCCACTAGTACATGCTGTGTTTTCTGGTATTATATTTTCATGTTCAGGTGTTATTTTGTGGTTTATCAAGTTTTATATTAGTGTTGTTTTAGGTGGTAGTGATAATGCTGTTTGAGTTCCTTTTCTTTTTAATTGCAATTTGAAAACACTTGTCATATTCTTAAATATAATTTTATTATATCTAGGTTAAAAATTATTTTTTTTAAGTTTCTTACATAGTTAAAGTCAACTGGGGAAATAAATTCATTGGACTGTTCAGAAATACATCTCTTCTATTAAGCAAGAGATATGTGGAATGCCTTTGCATGCTAAATCCCTAGCAGTAAGCAATTCAGCATTCCATTTTTCTTTACAGCACTTCTCTAAGTACAAAGTGCATAAATACATGCAAGTTTGGCACATAAAACTGAAGGAAGTTTTAATACTTGGTTTGAACTGTGCTATAGAATCTTAGATTCAGTAGGGTCTACAGAAACAAGTGGTATTGTGTAAAGATTTCCAGACTTGCAGTTGGTATCTATGGATTTTTACTCATGGCCTGTCACAAATTAACCCTGTGATCTTGACCAAGTCAGTCGAGTTTTCTGAGTCCCATTTTCATTGTCTATAAAGTGAAAGAGTTAGACTAAATAATCTCATATATCTGTTCTCATTCACAAAGACTCTGATTGGTTCGATGCTTGTAACTTAATTTTCATAGAAAGCCTAGGCTTAAATGACCATGTCACAGGTCACAAATCAGTTGCAGCAGTGGGGTAAGAACCTTTGACTTTTGACTTGCAGACCATGCATTTTCTAAAATACCCACATCACAAACAGATTTATTTGAACACAGTATCTTTCACACGTGAGTCATTTGTTTTGCTAAACATATGACTATGGCTATTGGAACCTAATCTGTTTAGCTATGAGAACAGGAGGCATTGTTGTATAATGTAAAGATCTTTGGATTGGGAGTTTGAACTTGGATTCAAATAGCTAGCCATGTACTACTTATGTGATATTGAGCAACTCATAAAATCTCTGGGGAACTCAGTTTTCCCATCTGTAAAATGAGATATGCCAGATCTATTTTAAATCCCTTCCACCTCTAAATCCATAATCCTGTGAACTGAATAATAATACAGTCAAGCCTAAACTTTCATTAGGGGTACTGTTCCTAGAAAATGACATGAAAGTAAAAAACTTAAATGTTGATACACTGAACCTATGGTAAATAGAGGGTTGTGTTCCCATGACCACCAAAAACCATAATCTTTTGTTAGAGATTGCTGAAAATACATTTTCCTACATACAATTCTTTATAACAAAACTTTAATTCTTATAATATGCCCTTTTCTTAACACAAGTAACCATAAAATAATCCATAAAATGCAGTACACAAAATAAAATTGGTAACAAGCAAAGTATTTTTTTTGCTAGTAATTTCCTAGAATTCTGTGACCTTTTGTGCTAACATCTCAATTGAAAATGCACATTGATTTCAGAAAACATTCACTTTTCATAACATGTGAAATCCACAATATTATAAATACTGTACAGCAAATAAAACTCTTAAAACTAAAACTTGTTTTTTAACCTGAATCTTACCTTCCACTGTGTCAGATAGCAGTGTGAGGGGGGTGTTCTATATACTATATTGCTGTAAACCTCTCTATCCTGGTCACCCTCTGAAAACCAAAGGAGAGATTGCTGGGGCTTTAGTCACTACTATCAGATGATGTTGAAACTATGCTATGGAATTGTAGATTCAGAAGAGTCTACAGAAACAAGTGGTATCGTGTAAAGATCTGCACACTTGCAGTTGGTATCTATGGATTTTTACCCATGGTCTGTCTCACATTTACCATGTGATCTTGACCAAGTCAGTCAAATTTTCTGACTCCCATTTTCCTTGTCTATAAAATGAAAGAATTGGACAGAATAATCTCAGATATCTGTTGTAATTCACAAAGACTTGCATTACACTGTGAAGGCATAATTGCAATGTAGAACTTGAGTTTTAAAAGCAAATGATGAAAATATGCAGTAAATGTGCAGAGAGTTCTTTACAATGGTAGGGTGAGCAAGAGCAGGGAAGTACTTAGTAGGATACCAACTGCTCCACAAATTTGTGCACATCAGTGTCTCTCATTTTTTTTTTCTCTACTATTCATAGCTGCTAATGTGAAAATGAAAATGAGATTACTAATAAAATCATGTGAATGCTTGAAGTCACAAAAGTTAAATGGTGAATGTTGAGAATTGACTGTAGTTCCCATTTATAGATCTTGCTACTTTAAGTTTGCAAAGCACTTTTCTTATGACAATCCTGGTAGTGCAAGTATTATTAACCTTATTTATAGAAGAGGAACTGTGGCTCTGAGGATAGAGTGACTTGTTTTTAATTATACAACTCATAAATGGTTGAAGTGGGATTTAAACTACAGTTTTCTTAACTTACAAGTCTAGTATATCGTACTGTTCCTTGATGACATGGAATGGTGAAAATGAAGAAGGTGGGCCACAGGAAAAATGCAGGCTCTAAAATTCTAGCCTTATTTAAGTGATAGAAGCCTATTCTCAAAACAACAACAAATACTTTTAAAAGCTGAATTGAAGAGACCTGATCCAAGTATACAGTGGGACGTGAAATAAGAATCCATTAGGACAATTCAAGTTTCCTTTTTCCTTAATAAATGTCTTCACCACTAAAAGTAAGATGAAATCCTAGAACTTAGGTAGGAATTTAGAGACAAAATATAGGAGAATTTTAAGCAATTAGGGGAAAAAAAAAGAATAGCAGGCTCTTCCATTCTTTTTGGACCACAAGATGGCAGAATACCGTATCCGTATGGGACACCCAAAGGAAGAATTCTCACTGGGTCAAAAGTGAGGTCTTTCCAAGAATAGTTCCTAAAAAAGATATTGTTTTTTTACTTATTTCTTTTCACAAGACATAAATGGTTTTCTCAGTCTTCATCACAGAATCCTGGTTTGGGTTCTACCCTACTTCTGAGATATTTTTATTTATTTTTTTATTTTTGGCACTATTTTTCTTTGTCAAAGGTTCACCTCAAAAATTTTTAATGCTCTAATCTTCGTTACTTGAAGTTTAAGGAAAAGCTAATTTGAATGGGATAGTTGTGATGGCCTAAGCATATATTTGGAAAATATGTAGCCTCTGTGTGTGTATACACAAAATAAATATGTGTGTGTGTAAAACCAGAATCAATTCTCCAATAGGTAAGTGGTCAAAGAATATGAAAAAGAATTCTTATAAAAAAATTGCCAATATTAAGAGCCATGATCAAGAAAAAATGCTCTAGAATATCCCAACAATAAGAGAAATGCAAATTAAAAAAAACATCCTAATTTATCACTTCACTCTCCCTTCATATTGGCAAAGATAACAATAAGACACACCACTGTATTGTTGGCAGA